GGTCTATAACAGCCTGTGCATGAGAGTGAAATATGCTTTGGTTTGTGGCCATACTTACTGTAATCAACTTTGCTATAAAATTTTCTCCGTGGAACTTTTTTTTTTTTTTTTTTTTTCAAGAGGAAGCGGGAATCAGAAGCATCCAGATGCTCATTTGCCTCCTCCTCCTCCTCTCCTTGCTTTATGCTTGTGGGTTCTAATAACCGGAAGCCTTTGTGGAGCTGAGATGGGTTTTGTAGGCCTGAAAGGCCTCTAATCCCTGTGGCCTGTGAAGTGTGAAGCCCTTTGATGCCAGGTCGGTGTGCCAAAGGCTCTGCCTATTGACAAACAAGGGCCAAGCTGGGAAAAGACGAAGCGAAGAGGGGCTGTCTCCTCTCGCTCAGAAGAAACACAGGCTCAGGCATGAAAAATATAGAGCTCAGTGAGTGAGAAGGAATAGAATTAGCTACCCTTTAATGAATTTCCTGGCTTTTTTAGAGTTTTTTTTTTTTTTGCCTCATGTGGCAGTAATTAGGTGAAATGATGGGCATATTGCAGCTGGGGGCTTGCAGGGGCGGCAGGGCATGGGCCCTTGATATGCCTGAAAGCCAAATATCTTTCCTCATTTAGACCATGTGATGATCAAAGATGTTTTTTTTTTCTCTTGCCCTCGTGTAAAGAAGATCAGAAAAAAAATGCTGCCTTTCCATTTGCATGCGGACCCGCAATATGCTTTGAAATGAGCATGTTTTATTTTTCTCTCGCTCTCTCTCTCTCTTCTGAGCAAATGAAATAAGTCTTCTGTCAGTTTCCTCTGCAAGTCAGAACATCAAAGCAAATGACACTGCTGTCACAGGGGGAAGCAGGGCTGCGCCTCACCGAGGTTGGTTAGACCTCAGATTGGTGGGTCTGGCACGCTCATACCAGCCCATTAGGATGTCATCCTCAATCTGATTAAAGTTTATTTACTATTGCTGGTGCGCTTTCACAGATCTGAAGGTTTAGCCTGGTAAAGCTATTACGGTGTATGAACCAATCAATTCACTTTAGTTGTATTACAGGGCGCCAATTCACAGTGAATGCCATCTCAAGAGACTTTACACAGCAAACGGATTCAGATTATTCACAAAAATGAGATGAATGCAACCAAAAAGAACTCAGTTCAGTTCATTTTCATACATTCCAGTTTGATTCTGCTTATATCCCAGATCAGCTGATTTCATTGATAAGTCACTGAGTCTGCAGCAATCTACCCACCTTAGCTGGGCATGGTGGGCGACAGTGGAAAAGAACAACGCCTTTGTTCAGATTATTAAAAATAAAAAAATCAAAATCTTGTAATACATTTGACAAAGGAATGAATGTTTAGCATAAAGCTGATTATAAAATTACTATTATCGTGAGTTTTATTGGCCACTCTTGCTGTATAATTTTATCAAATGATATTTACTCTTGGTGCATAAGGGAGCATTATCATAGGTCCTCCCTCCCAGCAGCTGCTAGACTGAATAACCATCAATGCTCCCAGCAAACTCAAATTCAATAAGTGTTCATATCCCTGACGGGTTTTGTACAGTTTTTCTCGTTTCAAATAACATTCCTGCTGTCATTTACACGTCCCTGTAGTTTTTTTTTGTTCATTTTTAAAAATGATCCTTCTCAGTTGTGGATTTCGAGAAAAGAAAGAATTGAAAACCTTCCAAAATCATAAACTGTAGGTCTGCTCATGTCTCTTAGCTTGACATGCCAGGAATCTTGGAAAAAAACAACAACTGTGTTTTGGTCGGGAGATCTCTCTGAGACAAGCAATTGTTGGTTCTGGCGTAGGAACTCAGCCCATCAGCAATATGCACTTCCAAATGTGTCTTGAACCCTTTTGCTGCATTTAAATACAACCAGTGGTTTGTTTTTCTCTTAGACCTGGGGGAAAGCAGTTTGTGTTGGTTAAAGGTCAAATCTGATGTGTTTGCGTGTGAAGTTCAGAGTGCATGTTTTGATTTTAATAAAAGTACTTCTGATGAACCCACCGGACCAGTCTGTCCATGAATTTAGTTTAGATATTCACAGTCTTGTCCCTCAGCATCCAGCCTAATTTATTATTATTTTTTATGATATGGATCTTGTAGATTTAATCATTTTCACAGTTGGAGTCCCAAAGGGTTGTTGAAATGAACTCCCCATGATATCTGGAATGGGAGCAAAGAAATGAGAATTGTGACTACTTGGCTGTGGAGTTTCTTTAAAGTGGTTTTGCTATTGGAAAGGAAATGGACTGCGTCCCAGTCACAGACGCCTCAGGTAGCCGGGACGTTTGCTTGCTGTTGTTATGGTGGTTAATTTTTGAGCATTTTTTTTTTTTGCATCAAAATGTCATTTTTGAAGAGGTTGCAAGTCATCTGTGGCAGCTGATATATTGTTTGTAAATTGAGTCCTTTTCCCAACCCCCCACGCTTTTTGTTATACTGAGCTAAGTAGCCATGAAATTGCCTGAATAATGTCATTTAAATCCAATCTCACTGCAGCCCCTCACCTCCATGCCCAGCCCCTAGACAATGACACATGGTGGGCTTTTTAGAAATTGCATTTTTCCTGTTTGCTACCTCATCGTACTGTGGCCAAGTACTGGTCCGCTGACCAAGGACTGCTGTCAGTCGACTCTGAGCCTTCGGTGCTGGATTGAATTTGAGAATTTGCTCAAACAGAGCAGAGCATTTACATATAGATTTAAAGCGAATCTCCTAAAGGTGGTATATATATTCGGCTTCTCTCTGTTTCATATTTTAAAGCTAATCTCAGATGCATGTTAAAATCAATTTTATGCGAGTCTGTGCTCGTAATTGAAATAATACATTTTCCTCCCGCAGGAGTCTTTTTGGAAGGTGCAGTCGTGAAAAGAAATAGAGCATCCGATGACGGCATTATTGTGTTTACCTCATACGTTTAGGCATATTTAATATCAATTTCAGCAATGCTGAGAAATTGAAGAAAAAATGTTTAATGTTTTCTGAAAATTGTCATTTCTGGTAAGGAAGAAACTGGAACATCCTGACATTTATTCCTATTTAGATGGTTGGAATTACACAGGTTTATCACATCAGGTCCACATAATGAAAACGTGACTACGTTTTATGAAAGTGTATCCCTATAAAATCACAAAGCAACTGCACAAGTTTGACTTCCCTAGGAGGTTTTCTCTTAAAAATGACACATAATGTCCAAACTAAGGTTTGCACGAGAGAACAGAGACAGAGGCGAGCACTGCTCCTGTCCTTTGGACAGAAGAGTGTAAATCTAAAATATTTGGAGGTCAGATTAGAGGACATATTTGAACGGAACAATTTCATGTATGACCATGCATGAAAACTACATGGTCCTTGAAATGAAAATCATGTGTAAAAAACAGTTAAGCCTTAAGCGCAGCTGGAACCTGATCATGACAATGACATACAAGAAACTTCACAAAAAGTCCTGAACCAGGTTATGAACCAGATCTTTAAGATGACTAGAAATGAGCTCCTTTTTTTCCTTTCACAGCTGAAAAAAAGAGCTCAATGTTCCTCAGACCGATGTCAAACACAGACAGATTGCCATAAGCAGGTTTCCACAATTAATCTAAGTTAGGACACACTTTTTGATTGAGACATTTTGTTTAAAGAGTAGGATAAAGTCATTTTGGATGCTTACATACAACTGAATCCCTTTATTTTCTATCAATAAATAAAAACAGAATCAGGCATCCATCTGTAAACTGTGTTTTGAAGGAACTAAACTTTAACATGGTGTCTTTTTCAACAAGGCGGTCTCTGTCTATTTTAAAAATTCAATTTACCTACTTCTGTGGAAAAAAAAAATCATCACTTGATCATTTATTATTGGGCTATATTTTGCCAGATTCTCCTTAACCAAGCTTGCAAGTCCCAGTTGACCTTTAATTGGTTCTTTGTGGGGGTCTCTCTCCCCACTTCTGCTGGACTGAATGAATAAGAAAACTCAGTTGCCAAGGGTAAGACCCAGTAAGTGATTCCACTTATAAATCTAAAATGTGCCACTTCAATTAAACAAGCTTTTATTCCCTCCCCTTTCCTCCCTTCGTGCCTGGTACCAAGGCTAACCCAATTCAGCGCTGAAGAGAGTCCAAATTAATTCCACAATGCACTGATTTAACAGCGCCTAAGGTAGCGGGCTCTGACAGAATGAGTTTTTAAAAAGATTCATTTGTCTAGGGATGTACATCCACATCAGGATGTGAAAATGAGATGGAAAGAAAGCTCTGAGCGGAGGAGCGCGCTGATAAATGCCAGTCCTCATCTGCTGCTTTCTAACCGTGTTTGGGTTCGACTCAAGTGTATCTGCTTAATAAAATTCTCGAGACGGTGGTCTTAAAATTCATAAAACATGCCGAGCCTGAAAAACTTTGCAGCCCATTTGTTGCTTGTGCACCTTTGTTTTATAGGTCTGTAATTAACATAATATGAGGCCTCACGGCTCGCAAATTTCTCTTTTATATGAATCCAACTATGATATGGGCTGGAATGAGCCTCTCGCTGTATCATAGTCTGAGTAGAAATGCTATCACATACATTTTTCAAACAAACATCTGCAATATGATCTAATGTTTTTATTAAAAACAGAAACAAATTTTCCAACTGCGGCAAGAAATCTTGCACTTTTAACAACGGTTTTCAAGGAAATGGGCTCACGGTGCAAAATATTTTTGCTATTTATGCAGCATATGCAAGCATAACAAGCTGATATTAGCAGGGTAATCAGTCAGACTAACTCTTCAGATGAAAAAGCAATACCTACCAATGCACAGAAGCGATATATTGGCTATTGATTGGGTTGTCATCATATCATTATTTTTCATTGACTCAGTAGAAGTGCCTGTGTGCCTCACAGGAATTTGGGGCTATGAAATCTCCCGACGTTCCAAAATAAATCTCACCTCAGCATTTTTCTGCATTTGTCCCTTTGAGATCTTCATGTGTTCATCCTTTTTTTTTTCCTGTTTTGTCTTTCAGGTGACCTGGTGGTACCTTCACTTTCCTCACGGTACCCTACAGCAGCAGAACTCGATGCTTATGCTCAGAAGACGGCAAACAGCCCACTGTCCATCAAGATTTTCCCCACCAACATCAGGGTTCCCCAGCACAAGCACCTTAACCGGACTGTAAACGGATATGATACCACGGGGCAGCGCTACAGCCCTTACCCCCATCTCCACACAGGAGGGTACCAGGGTCTCCTTGCCATCGTCAAGTCCTCATCGTCGTCATCATCCACCTTTGGTCACTCCAAAGGCGTTCTCAAGAACTCAGAAGGCAGACGGACTAAGCTCTCTCCAGCTCACATAGCTGTGGCGCCGTATCCACCCCCTAATAGTAGCACTTTAGCCAGCAGTCATGGCCAAATGGTATACCACTCTGGGCCCTCAAAGCCTCCAGAAGGCTCTGGACATTCAGTACCCCCAAATGTCACTGTGGCTGGCTCTGTGATTCCTGTAACCGGGGGCCGAGGCCTGTCCCTGCCTGCACAGTCTAATCTCCCCTCCATTCAGAGTATCATCTATCAGATCAACCAACATTGCCAGGCTCAGGCCCTGCAGCAGGTGTGTCAGGGGGCTTCCACTGCACCAACAAATTCCAGCCCCTCCAAGCAGGTCACAGCAGTCATGGGGGTCGGTTCGAGCTCCTCGGGGGGAGGCTATGTCGTCGGGATGGGTCCCCAGGCTAACATGGTGTACACGGGATCAGGGCTGCCAGCGCAAAGTGCAGAAGTAATGAAGAGCGGCGTATACGCGGAGGGTATGGACTACATCCTGTGGCAGAAACAACAGCAGCAACAACACCAACAGCAGCAACAACAACAGCAGGCCGTCCTCCGCATGTACAGCGGAGGCAGCGGAGGAGGGGGCGCCATCAGCAAGTCCCCCGAAACCTGCATTCCAGGTGGGGGAATCATGGCAGCCCAGGTGTCCTCCTCCTCCTCCTCCAGGCCTTACCACCTGACGGCGAGTGCCAGCGGCGGGGGCGGGCTTGACAAAGTCAGCTCTTCCCCTTTGAACTGTGTGGGCATGCACGGGAATTTCTCAGTGGGTCAGTACTTTGCACCGCCGTGGAACAGCGTGCTGGTGACGCCCGACAGTGACTGCTACAACCCCCAGGAGCTGCTGGGCACCTCCACGGGAGGCCCGGCGACGGGCCACAGAGAAATGGGCTATCCTCACCACCATCACCACTACCACCATCACCACCACCACCCCGCCGTTGACAGCGGCGGGGGTCTGTGCTGCAGCCTGCCCAGCAAGAGCCTGTGCAACACTTCAGTGCTGAGCAGCAGCCTGCAGTCTCTGGAGTATCTGATCAACGACATCCACCCGCCCTGCATCAAGGAGCAGATGCTCGGCAAAGGCTACGAGACTGTGTCGGTGCCGCGGCTGTTGGACCACCAGCATGCACACATCCGCCTTCCTGTTTACAGATAGAACGGACGGGTGGGAGAGAGAAGAGGAAGAAATTAATCAAGAGTTGTGAATTTATGAAGAAAAATCAAGACAGAGATGTTACGGGACTGTTGCGAGTGCCACTGCTTTAACGACCGCGACGTCTTAGAGAAGAGCAGTGGCTGCGCTGTGTGACCGTAGATTTTCTGGTTTCAAAGCAGGCTGTGGGGGATCCCTAACACAAAAGGTAGTAGTTACTGCCAGCGGGATGGAAAAGGGATTCCAAGATTCTCCTGATGTTCCATTGTGTGGTTTGCCAATAGGATTTTTGGATTAATAATTTTTTTTTTTTTTTTTGCTTTGTTGTTTTATCTTCTTAAACTGTTTTTTTGATGAGAATCATAGCTTGACATGAAGTGCATACGCCACTTGTATCTCCTCTCCAAATACTAAGGATGAAGCTACTGTGTAGGTTGTCACTGAAATGGTCTTAAAGGGCCAGCGCTTAGGGCTGCTTTTAAAACCCAAAAGTCAGTAACAGTACATGCGTATAGAAATGTGCTGGAAAAAAAAAACAGAGGATTACTAGCAGTTCTAGGGTGTTCTTATAAAAAGGATCACAAGGTTGAATCTAAAAGGGTAGTACAATATTAGTTATTGTTGCTGTTATAATTGATAAATTAATTGCACTGCTTGAATTTTGTTAACTTTGAAGTTTGGAATTGGGTAGTTTGGATATGATATATTTAAGAAACTTGAAAAACTTGAACCTATTTTTTGTTGTTTGATATATTTGTAGGTATATTATATGTATTGGCTGCTACAAGGAAAAGTGTCTCAACTGTTTTTTTTTATCTTATTCTATTGTTTTCCTTTTTTCGTCACTATGATTTAAAATTTCCTCGTTAAGCTGACGTGCAGTCTCTTATGTTCTCTTATGTTCTCTTATGTGAGGCAGAGTTGCTGCTTTCGGTTCTGTAAGAACCTGAACGGAGAGCTTTTTTTTTTTTTTTTTTTTTTTTTCCTAACCAACACTGGAACCGACAGTAAATTTCAAAAATACTTATTTAAAAGAAAAAAAATGTTGCAAAAAATACGAAAAACAAAAAGAAATGTTACAGTAAAGAATGTGACTGGGAGGGAACAGAGATAACCTTATGTGTACGGCAGCTTGTAAAGGTGACGTTTGACATTTTCGCTTTTTCTTTTTTCACCGTTCGACCCCAAATCTCAGAGGTTTTTATTTTGATTCATGTGTCAGATCAACACAGAGTTGTGCCTAATTGGGAACTGGTTTTACTTTTTTTTATTACAAAAAAACACACTTATCCTGTCCAGGTAGGAGAAAAACATACCCATATGATGAAGCTGCCACCACAGGAGCATGTTTACTGTGTCCCGTACGCAGCTTCTGGCAAACTGCACATGAGATTTATTTTGACTTTGGAATATTGTTTTATAATCTAAATTTCCCATCACTCATTCTTTGACCTATCTGCTATATTCTTGGTCTTCATGTTTGTGTTCAAATGTTCCCAAAAAAAAAACAAAAACTTATTTATCAGATCTTGAGCAGATGGCATACAATGAAATGGAATTAAACACAAGAGGCTAAAAAAAAATTTCATCTTTTTCTTTCCACGTCACAATCATGCACTACTTTGTGTTGGTCTATCACACAAAATCTCAATAAAACGCTCTGAAATTTCTGTTTGCAACATGAAAAACGGCTTTAATGTCAAAGGGGATACCTTTCCAAGGCGCTGTATGTTGAAGCGTGTGTGCGTCGGAGTGCATGTGTGTTTGTTTGTACCTTCTTAGTTTGTGTTCTTCAAAATCCTCAGACTTTTTTTTTTATTTTATCGTGTGATCCACCAGACTTTTCCGGCGAGACTGACCGACTGATTCAGCAGTCCCATAAACATTATGACGAACATTATGACTGAGTTATGTACAGGGGATAACTTGCTCCTTTTCATTGGAGGCTTTAGATTTTCTGTGCAGGTGGAGTCATTTGACTCCTTTATTGCTGCACTTACAGCAGCTGTGAAAACAAATTAGATCGTGCTTTTGGGGTACTTTACTGTTGCAAACGAGTACAAAATGAAAACAATCATGCCCTGTCTCTTTTCTTTGTTACCCATTTCAGCTGCGGGTGAGGCGGGCGGTGGGGGGTGCAGTTGGCCCAGGCCAGTCTTAACTTTGATGATTCAGAGCAGTGAAATATTCATTGTGACTGTGAGATTTCCTCGAATGTACTGCACTTAAATTTACCACAATATTTTGTTGCCTTGTGGGACCCCGAGCGGGTGAGAAAAATTGTATCAGCGCAGCGGCTCTCTGGTCTTAAATTAGCATTTCTTTTGTCAGTCAAATTTCAGCGGCAAATTGAATTTATTAACTGGACAGAACGAGAGAACGGGGAGCTTTTGTTGTGGAGAAATACTGGCATCGGTCTAGATTTATGAAGTGCAATTATAATGACTGTATTAACATTTTTTTTTTCTCTGAGCTTACACCAAAAGAAAAATGTAAACTACAGTTTTCAATACATTCCCAATGTACCACATCCCTAATCTTTATCTCTGGTTTCTTTGTTTTGATTTGTTCTAAGGTGTAAAATAAATTCCTTTAAGAATATATTCAGAAGCCATACCTTGGCTATGAAGTCTGTGATTATTTTTCTTCACATTTGCTCTCTGGAGGCCAGTGGGATCCTGGGCCTTTGTTTTAATAGATCTACCAGAGCCGTAATGTAATCTGACGTGCGATTCCTTATTGATTAGAACCTTGTACTTTTGATTGATTTTCTAAATGTTTGAACTTTGGCCATCCCGAGAGAAAAGGAGAAACAATGCTGCCAGATAAAGTTTTTTTTTCCTTAAATAAAAGCTGTTGTATGGATTATGGAAGAAAACAGGGGAGACTAAAAAGTGTAATCGGAACTTAATTTCCTTTCATTGTTACTTTATGCAAAAAAAAAAAAAAAAAGAAAACTATCCAAACTCTCATCCGTACATGTCGAACTAGGGCTGATTTAGTTTTTTGATGGCTGACAGATATTTCAGACTTGAAGAATAAAAGCCTCTTGGCTTAAATTTACATAGTAAAACCTCAACATTGCAGAGATGCATTATGTTTCAGCAGCCAAATTCTTGAGCCACAGTCTGATTCCAGCATATTTTCTGCGTGGTAGAAGTATTTTGACAGATTTACACATACGTCCCATCCCCAAATCCCTTCCGTTTGACTTCTGCATCCAAGCATTAAACCCTGTCACATGATGTTGCAGTGGAAAACGGGAGATGTTTTAAGGCAGTGGAGTTTCTAGCGTCTGCGTCTCTCCCATCCCCCTCCACCAGTGGAGATCTGAGGCACCAGGCCTCCTCAGCTAACGGAAACATTAGGTGACATCTTGGCTACTGGACATTGCCGTTCGAGATTGTTAATCCAAAAAAGTCGACTGAAATCAAACCCGTCGCAAGGGATTTCAGAAGAGAGACATGGATCGAATCATTGACTCAGATCTTTCCACATTACAACCACAAGCATTTGGGAGTTTTGCGCGATAGACACGAATTAGTGCGCAGTTGTGAAGAGAAAAGAAGAGGTTTGATTTCAACGTTTGTGAAATGTTGTGTATTCTTATTCATACCACCCGAGTCAACGCCGTGTGGAGACTGAGACTGTCCATGCTTTGCACGGGGCCTCTGTGAATTCAAATCTTGCTGCATATTCCCAAATTGACGTTGGTCTGGACTTTGACTGGGCCACTGAAGTCCTTCAATCATACCCACTTGCGTTAGCTGTGTGTTTAGGATTGTTGTCATGCAGGAATGTGAACCGCGATCTCTAAACATTTGCCGTCTCTAACAGACCTTGTAGTGTCTTTAGCCATCTCCCCCCCCCCCAACTCTGCAAAGCTTCCCTGAAGAAATGCATCCCCACAGCATGATGCTGCTGCCACCATGTTTCACCCTGGGAATGGTGTGTCCAGGGTGATGTGCGGTGTTGGTATTTAGCAACCATGTGTGCATGAGGACAAACAGCTGAAATCCTCCCACATATCTGTAGTAAGCATTGGATTTTACTTAGAGGTGTCAAAGTAAAAGGAACTAAATACAAAATACACACCACACTTTTGAGAATTGTATTTAAAAGATAAACATGCAGCACTTTTCTTCCACTTATCCACTGCTTTGTGCTTCTTTATCATCTAAAAGACGTTGGGGTTTGTGTTGTAGCGGGACTAAAAGGTGAAAAGTTCAAAGGCTCTGGCAAAACATAACAAAAATGGCTGCACAAATGAGAGTTTTAAATCATTTTTATGCAGCCCAGGCTGGTCCAGCATCCCACCCCCCTCAATCACCTCTTCTTGAAGCACAGGCTCCCAACTGTCTGTCCCTCTGCTCCTTCACACACATTAATGAGCCCCTGTTGAAGGCACGCATCTTGGCCCTGCAACTCTGCTCCACTCCTCTGTTCCTCATTCGGACAATGGACGCTCAGCTCATATTAGGATAATAGAATTAAATTTCAAATAGATTTGTGCCTGGGCTGATCCAGCCACGGCTCACTCAGCTGCAGAGGCAGAGTGGCATATGGCAGGTCATTATCTAAAGCCCACCCTTCCTCCACCTCCCCCCCCCACCCAATCCAGGGCCAACAGGGTTCAGCGGCGCTTAAACAAACCGAAGGTTAGGACTGGCTGTCTGGCTGGCGTCGGAGGGGAGGACAGCAGGGTCTGAGTGGTGGTGGTGGTGGTTGGGAGGGAGGCGGGCGGGTGGTGTTGCTATATCACAGACGCCACAGCATCTCTGAGGGCCTGAGTGCCGCACCATGGCGCCCAGGCTTGTTTTAAAAGCCGGGCTGCGATTGATGGAGGGGGATTTGTTTTCTGTTGGATTATACATGCTCGCTCCCTGCTTGACTGAGGGGGCCCTGTGCAATCTGACAGAGAAAAGAAGGAATGGATAAAAGGAAAAAAGGAAGGATGCGGGTAATTTTTGACTCAGAAAAGCCTCAAAGCGTTTGGTAATCAGGATAATTGACATGTCCCTTCAAATCTTTGACTGGAGACTTAATGTGTCTCGGTTCTCTGCAGAGAAATCCTCTATTTTCACTAACCAGAGAAACATTTCAACTCATCTTGTTCCGCGAGTGATTAATCACAGCAACGCCGCCTTCTGATCGAGGACATTTAAATCTATAACTTATCTCTGAGGCTACAGCCCGCTATTGACTGCTAACACGTTTTCAAGGGCAATGAGAGGCTCATGGAGGATGGTTGGAGGGCAAAGTGTAGGAAAAGTGACTTATGCTGGCTGTAAAAATCCCTTAGTAAATCCCAATAAGTCCATTAAGACCTTTGCCCTGTGTAAAGGTTTATAGTCGCATATTATGCACCTTAAATACTGCTGAGAAGCAAAGGGGGAAGCAGGCTCAGCTCTTTTGCTCTCAGAGCGAGGGCGGGGAGGCGGTGGAGGAGGGGGGAAAAAAAGGCAGCCGCTTGCCCTGTGGAGTCCTGGCGACGCTTCTCTACCCTCCACACGGCGGGTGTGGTGAGGGTCCACTCCAGTCATGTCCCTCCTCTTGTCTTCGATCCTCCTTCGGATCTGAGATTGGACGAATTTATGACACCAGTCCTCTCCGATTCCCTCACACCTGGCAGGAAAACACTTCCATCAATAATTCACACGGTCCTAGAGAGAATTGCATCTCTAAACCACCAGCCACAGCTGTGTTGCACTATGTGTCTTTGAAGATGTGTTGTTTTATCCTCACAGATCTCTAAGGTTAAAAATGTGAAGGCATGGGCTTGTTAGTGGCACCAAGGTTTGCAGAAGCTGCAGTGATGTTCCTATAGTTTTGCTTTGCTGACAGCAGAGAAAGTGACATTTTTTTTTCATGCTCAATGGAGAAAACCCTGCCCCTCCCACACGTGTTGCTGCGCATTGTCTGTCATCTGGCTGAAGGAGGGTTTTACACTTTTCCTTGCTTAAGAAAAAAAAATAGGCTCTTAGGAAATTTTTCTTTCAAAAAACGAAATGAAACACGCTCTACCCATCACTCTTTGTAATTTGGCGCTGACTGTAAACTACAAATGCTAAGATCCGCTTGTAAACTACAGACTCGCTACACAAGCAGCTGAGTATCGACGTGTCAGGCGTGAGCCAATCGCCTCCAAGAGACGAATCTTCAGCTGCTTCTTCTCAGCTCTCCTGAGAGTCCATGCAGGCAGGACTTTACTTTGATCAGTGCAAGCGGCATCTTTCTGTCTGACGATGAAGACAGCAAATCTAAATTCCTAAATTTAAAAATCAGGTAACGAGTAAAACTGCTCAGATGCCTGTGAATCTTTGCTCTGTCGTTAATTTTAAGGTCTCACTAAATTGTTAAACAATAGTAAAAACAAAATAATGATAAGAAGATTTATATAAAAGCACTGATTTAAAAATGTGTATCACAAACTATTTAGAGTTAAAAAAAAAAAACTAGGTCAAAACGGTGATTTGATGATATTCTGCACGTTAAGCACTTAAAAAAAAAACGCAGAATTTTTATTTATGTTTAGGGATCTGGATCAAAGTGCAGTAATTCAATGATAAAAATATCATACCTGTTGTAATCAACCAGTACTGGATGACATAATGTCATGCATTCTTTTTTTTTTGTAATATTTGTGTTTTTATTGTGCACACCATGGTAATGTCTCTTATAAGTTAGAGTCTGCTACGACGAGCCATTGTTTGGACAGATGTGAGCACCGCAGATGTTAAATATAATTTTTATAAACTGTGCCACGAGGCAAAAAACCCGAAAAAAAAAAAAAAAACTTAACACACAAAGCTGAATCTTTTCCCCTAAAGCCACCACTTCACAGCAGGGTGTTCCTGGAGCTTACACTGTTTTATTCCTCTGTATGTTTAAATGAAAAAGCTTATGACCTCCACATATTCATCTGGTCTGCACAGACGGTCTATTACTGAATCCAATCTAAACGCAAAAGTCTGAGGATTTTGCTTTTTTTTCTCTCTCTCTCTCTCTCTTCTTCTCTCTCTCTTTTTGGATTCTTTTTGCGGTTTGTGAGGCAGTTTCTGTGTCTTCGTCTTTTTTTCCCCCAGATGATCTCAAGTGCACCAACGCTGCCAAAGTACGAGGGTGCCGCAACCTTGAGAAAATAATATATATGGAAATGGGAAATCTATAAAGCATCTCTCTTATTGTTTTCCCTGCAGTACTGTGTTTTTTTTTTAAAAAATGGTTTTGTCTCCTCAGGATGAAAAAAAAATGTAAAGAGTTCAATGCTTCTTTCTTCTTTTCAAACAATAATGATATACGAGTCTTAGATTTCAAAAAAGAAGTCTGAATATAAAAAGAAAAGCTGTAAAATCCTTTAGTCGCGGGGGTTTTCAGCTTTTGAATGTGCCTACAGCCAAGCATCGCAGAGACGGCTTACCCTCTCCAGATCTGCAACCATCATCTTCAATTTGCTGAAACTGCCACAGTCACTCCTCCATCTCAACCATCACAGGAGACATTTTCCCTGCTCCCTGCTTTTTTGTCAATCTCAGGACTGGAGTTTCTTTACTTTAATGTAGATTGGCTGTTTTTCATTTGACCTTTCCTCTCTTATGTACAATGTTTGACATAAGGAAATAAAGCAGATGACTTCTACGTCCGTCTCCTTTCTGTCTTTTATTCGCATTTTAAGACACAGGACCGAAGCGTCTGATAAATGACGGTAAGCATATTAGTCTGAGGATTGCCTCTGCACTTTGCCGCCATATGCCCGCCTCGACAATCTTGTTGTTCACTTGACCTCCTTCACCTTTACAGCGGTAACAACCTCACCTCAGGGAAACGCAGGCAGAAAAACGAGGGACAGAAATGGTTTTATTTTCTGGGTTGTGCTTCGGAGAAAGCTCTTCAGCAGTGGAAAAGGGAAGTTGGGTTACTAAGAATGCAATTTACATACGTGGGCAAAAAGAGGCGAGTACTCCAGAAACAACAGGTGCACTATCCCATTTTTCAAACCTGATGCAGCAGCAATGGGAGCTCAAACTGCAGCTTGCTGTTGTTCTAGATATTTGTGCAACACAAAGTTTTGCAAAAGGAATTCATACGCCTTGAACTGTTTTCACATTTTATCACATGACAACCACAAACTTCAGCGGGATCTAACACAAAGCAGTTCATAACGGTGAAGAGGGACGAAAAGGAGGCAACATTTATAAATTATTATAAAAATCTACATTAATAAAAATGGGAAAATTGTGGCTTCCAGATGTGTTCTGTACAATGAGAGTTAATACCTTTTTAAACCACTTCTTGCTGTGGTTTATGCTTTGATTAAACCGTTCTATTACAGCTCTGGCTCAGTGTTTATGGTCATTGTCCTGCTGGCAGATGAACATCAAGCCCTGTTCTCAAGCCTTTTGCAGCCTCTAACAGCTTTACTTCCAGACATGATCTTTATGTCGCTCCATTCATCTCCCCAACAACTCCTGTTTTCCTGCCCCTGTTCAAGAAAAGCATCCCTGTTTGCCGTGTCCCAAACTGCAAACGAGCTTTTACTTTTTAGCCGTGGTTGCACCGACTTAGTGTTAAAGCAACTGGCAACACTGGATTTTATTTAGGGTAACAGAGTAAAGAAGTGGCAGAATGCTTACAGAAATGTTCAGTTTTTTTTTTTTTTTTAATTCTTCTGTTTTACTATTGTACGCTACTTTCTTTCAGTTTATCACATAAAGTCTCGTTGATATAATGAAATAAAAAAAAACATGTTTGCTTGATATTTAAATTAAATACATAATGACAGCCTTTCATCTATTTATTTATTTTTGTAATCGTATACCTAATCTCCGTGCTCAACAGCACAGATATCCTCAAGAACTCAGCACAGACCCTTCCTGTTCTCTCTCCTAGTCTCTCTGCCCACCGAAAACACCAGATAATCCCCAGACTGATGAGGCAGCCGCCTCCACCAGAGCATGCGGCGGCACTGGGAGACACAGCGCGCTGATTTCACACACACTCGCTCACACAGAAAAAGAGCTCCGTGGAGCAGAAATGCTCCTCTTATTAGCAAAACTCATTCACCTGCATGCCACATTGAGTCCTTGGCAATTTCACAATAAATCACAAGAGACGCCCACCGAGGCCGGCGGAGCCGAGCTGCAGCTCCGCCACGGCCGTGCCCTCGCCTGTCGGTTTAGACACTCTGAATCATTTCGGGTTCACTGGCCTCATTTCGTCTCGTATGGACTGAAAGGTCATCTCACACGCCACCTGACCAATATGTCTCTGGCTCTTCATCTCCCAGTGCTTCCAGTGATTGCTCATTCTATTTAGAAATGTCACTCTTCTTGGCAGAAATGTTTTGTCGGGAAGAATTAAAGAAGAAAGTCAGGAAAAAGGGGCGGCATCGTTTGTTTTTTTTCTGCAGAGACAAGATGTCGTTTTTAATACACATACGGCGTCCTGAAAGAGATTAACACCACCTAAGATGTTCAACATCTACATATTATGTATTTTTTTATGTGATAGACCAAAGCAAAGTTCAGCCAGGAAACTCATTCCAATTTTTTTAATGCATATTTATGAGCCAATTTGTTATAATTTTGAGTTTGTCGTCCAGGATCCATTTTCTTTACTCCGTGGAGATGCTGTTCAACAAGTTATGGAGTAGTGAGTGCATCTTTCCCCTCTGAATATGTATGATGCGTGTCGGGAACTGAGGAGAGGGTCTCTGACCTTGAGGCCTAAGCGGGGTGCTGAGGTTTTTATAGGGGCCAAAGAGAACCAGGCAGAAGCTGCCAGCAGCAAAAACAGCATGCAGGAAGGAAGCATTATTTCATTAGACCGGCCAAATTATTAACAGATACTTTTCAGCATGTAAAAAAAAGATTATGGGTAAAGCAGCAGCGCAGACAGGTTGACTGTCTGAGCAACAGCTCCAAAAAGCTCTGCTCTCATTTGTGCACTCCACAAATCTGGCATTTATGAAAGAGTGGCAAGACTGTTGAAAAGCACAAGACGTCCTGTTTGCGATTTGACACAAACTACTGTATATAAGGTAAAACAGCAAAATGTAGAAGAAGGTGCTCTGGTCAGATGAGACCAAATCTGAAAAGTTTAGCCTATAAAACAGTGGATGGTAGAAAACTAAGACCCTCAACCCACCATCCCCACCTTGATAGTGGCAGCAATATGCTATGTGAAAGTTTTTCTTAAAGAGGGACAGGAAGCTGGTTGTTAATGGGAAGATGGATGGGCCTAAATACAGGGAAGGGGGCAGGAGGAGGAACCTGCTGGAGGCTGTAAAACACTGGAAACTGGACCAGCAGCACAACAACTCTAAAATCTACAGTAAACTGGTTTGGACTGAAGTCTAGACCTAATTCCAACTGAGAGTCTGCTGTAAGACTTTACTTGACGTTCACAGGCTCTCCTTCCAGTTTGACCACGCTTAGCTGTTTTGCAAAGAATGAGACAATGTTTCTGTTTCAGTAGCTGCACAAATCTGACAGACTCGCTGATGAAATTACTGTGAAAGGTGGGTCTACAGAGTATTGACTCAGACGAACACTTTGCCTTCCACTTCACAACCATGCATTCTTTTTGTTTGTCTCCTTAAAGCGTCTCCAATATAAGGTTTGTGGTTGTAGTGTGACAAAATGTGAAACTTCAAGATGCCTCAATTCTTTTCCTGGGCACTATAAGTTGGTTTAAATGATTGTTCACAGTGAACAGTATGATGTTTCTGCTGTTTCAGAAGATGCGAGTCTGAAGTGTCGCTTAGTCAAAAAAAAAAAAAGGGGGGGATTTAGCATAAGTCTGGTCTTGTGTCCTCATTAGACCAGTCAGCCTAAACATCTTAAAGCCTAACTGGCTGAACAATAGCTGAACATTTTGTCCTTCCAAAACCTAAGCTAGTTAGTCACCATCAGACCTCCTGGCTGAGGGAATAAACTTTCCCTTCTGTGCGGTTACCAAACAAGGGCCGTTACAACACCGTCCCTTCTGGCTGTCACTTGGTTCGTTGAGACACTTTTGTGGCAGCCAGCAGACGCCTGCTGCAAGCAGACGAGCCATTTTGTTAACAGCTCACACTTCCTGTGCAAGCGTGTGGTTCCAGAGTTGCTGACAGTGACACTTGCAGGACCGAGCCCTGCCCTACTTAACGGGGTGAAGGGAGGAGGGCAGGCCAAGTTGTCAGCAGTGCTAGGTGCTCACTGCTTAGATAAACCTGCAGGATTAGTGGCCCAGTTAAAGTTGGGGCAAAGAGGATTAGCCTCTTCTCGGAGGTGGTGAGAGATTCCCTGTGTCCTTCAGCGCTGCTGGCCTCAGACGCAGATGGGAGAGAGGAGGAGGAGGATGTGAGATGACGGATGAGGCCTTCGCCATCATGAGTGTGAAAATCTTCAGAGGAGGAGGAAAAACAAGGTGAAAGGGAAAAAGGAATGAAAACGTTTTTTAGCGGCTTGCAGCTCTGTTAGGAAAGACGGAAGATCGCTGAGGACACCTGAGGTCGTCTGGAGAAAATATTCCAAAGAAGCAGCATCCTCTGCACACTGACCTTTCAATATTTGCAGCTGAAGATTACATTTATAATATCTGGGTCCAAAAACAGCACAGCAGACAAAACACACACGCACACACGCGACTTTTCAGTCTGTAAAAACTTTAGACCTCTGCCGCCATCAACAGACCAACATTGAAATTGCAGTTATATTAAATGATGAGCAAACTTTTTTCAGCATTAGGGTTTAATTACATTCTTTATAAATAATTTCATAATTGATGGTGATAATATGCTGTTTCTTGCAAAAAACTGTCCGACTTGCAGGCAAGCTATATAGTTTTCTTTACTCAAAGGAGGTTTAAAGACACATTTTAGTTTAGTTGATAGAGTTTAGCACTCATTAAAAACTATGTTGTAATGTGTTATACCTCAATCGCAAACCAATTTTTATATTTTTTGATTCTTCATCTAATTTAGTTGTGTATATTTAAAAAAAATAATAATAATTTGTTCCCAGAATTTGTTTTCATTGTGGATTCTGATTCACGTATCTGTTATTGTTTTCTAATATCTCATTTAAAATGTAATTTTTTAAGATTCTGATTATAAAAATAAAAAAAATCTTCATCTGCACAAAAACAAATAAAGATTCGAGTTCATGGTTTATAAAATCTGTCAGTGTTTACTGTTCTTTATGGCAATATATAAACAATACACTAATGCAT